AGGCGACTCCGGGGGCCACGCGGGGCCGCGATTTGAATCGCCCTGGGGCGTCGCTGGGCGCCGGGCAGCGGCCGAGCCCGCGCCTGGACTCTCCCAGCGGAGCTGCAGCTGCGCCCACGCGCCGCCCCCGCCGCACCTGGCTGCTCGAAGGGCCCCGCCGAGCGGTTTCTTCCGCCTGATGAATCTCGAAACGAGCTGGAAGCTTCCAGAGCCCGTGCGCCCTGCCTGTTAGCGCCCGCAGTCACTCCTCCAGCAGATAAACCTTCCCTGTCCCAGCGCGCGCCTGGTTCCCGACCCCTTTCCTGCCGGCATCGCCGGGGAAGATGGAAACGTCCTTTTGCTCATTTTACGAAAAAGGAATCCTACATCTTATTCTAACATTTATTAAATTTTCACAGTTTAAAGAAGAGAAGGTAAAAATAGCCTACTTTTGTGCTAGAACTTAATAGGATGGAGGTCGTTACTGAATTGAATGTTCTGTTCACCAGCTGCCCGGAGTGGGCAAGGGGTGGCATTTTAAAAAGCAACCTTTTCACCGGGCTTATTTTCTGAAGCCAACATGCCAACGTGCTTACATGTGTTAATGATAACAACTGCTTACATTTCAGGGAAATTAACGTAGGTTATTATTTTTAATGCCTTAATTTATTTTCAAATACCTTAAACCCAAGATAAAAGTCGTAGAATGAAACATTAAACGGAAAGGTAAAATGACTGGGCTTGTATCACTCAGTGGAGATGAACATTCATGAAAGTTAATGGAAAATCAAAATAAGCAAACACTTGACAATACTAGCAGCACCTGGAGGACTTATCCCTTCGCATACTCTGAGCCTACCTGTTTTTAGCCAGGCAAAGGGTTCTGTAATTGGAGAACAGTAAGGAAGAAGACAGCTCTCAGGCCTCCATGCTTAGGTGCAGTGGACATCTTTGTTCTCTGATCCCTATGAAAAAGAAAACTGAAGGCAGGGAAAAAATGCTTTCTGTGGCATTAGTGACAACTTCGAAACTAAAACAGCAGGTACAGCTCTCAAAAATGTAAACTGAGGGCAGTATTGGAATTCCCTTTAATGTTTTTGATAAGATAGATATTTGATTCAACTGCATTGGCTACTGGTAATTTTCTTTTTAATATAATTAATTTGATTTTCCTTAGAAAATGAGTAAATTCATTCTGCAAGTGTATAGTTACTTTGAACTCATAATGTTTTGGAAGTTACCTTAAAAGCTCTAGTCTTTGCTTGAACACTGCCCTAGCTTTTGGGATGTTACATGACACCTCAGAAAATCTAGGTCTAGGATGTCTGTGTTAGAGCAAATTTAAACTTGATTTGGCCTGGTACTTAATACCCTCAGTATGCTCCCATTTTGTTCATCTCCTTTACCATTACAACTACCTGCTGTGGAATCTAAAACCTAATTCACCTACAGTACCTCCGGTGACTCCTCCTGTGTGTGTCTCCGCTCTGTGCCACTCTCTGTTTCCCTTGCTGGAAGGCGCTCTCACAGTTACGGTACTTTTCATCTCTTCAAAGCTGACTTAATGTAACTGGTTCTTCACGTTTATGCTCAGTTTTGCTGTGGTACTTCTCTGCATCATTTTTACTTGGCTTTCTGAAGTAGAGTCTTCCATGAATGACCCTCTTTTGTGCTTTTACACCCCAGAAGCATAACTTAGGCCCACTTGTGTGGGTTTATAGAAAAACTTGTGATTCTAAAGAGGCAGATGGTATTATCAGGATAGCAGAAATAACAGTGATATTTAGATTTGTACAGGCGTGGTGACTGAGAAAGTAGAGTTACACCAAGGGTCCTCAAACTTTTTAAACGGGGGGCCAGTTCACTGTCCCTCAGACCGTTGGAGGGCCGGACTATAATTGAAAAAAAAAACTATGAACAAATTCCTATGCACACTGCACATATCTTATTTTGAAGTAAAAAAACAAAATGGGAACAAATACAATATTTGTATTTGCATGTGGCCCGCGGGCCGTAGTTTGAGTACCCCTGAGTTACACCATACTTTTTGTTAAGCTTATATCTAGGGCCAAGTTAATAACACCCTTTATTCAAAGCATTTTCAGAACCTTCTAATAATGGGGCTTGGAGAATTGAAATGTGATGTAAAAATACACATGGAAACTGAGCTCTGGGCAGACTTACTTTTGGGGAGTAGGACTGCCACGTAGGTTGGATTTTCAGTAGCGGTTAAATGGACAGACCCATACCCCCTCTGAGTATTTGACCAAATTTAGACTCCAAAGTTGTGCTACACTTGTGCCCCTCCCTGCCCCAAACCATGGGTAAGAACTTTATATTAGATTTTCTCTTGTCAGCTAAAAATGTCCACGTTTTTAAAAAACTTTTTAAAAATGTTTTTTATTTCTTATAGGTCAGTCATATCATTTGGGTCAAAAAACAGAACAATTGGAGTTGCAGCCAAAAATCAGGTATGTTCTTTAAGAGAATTCTGGTCACTTTTTAAGGGGGAGGTTGTAAAGGTAAAATCTCAAGGACATGCAGGAATTTGAAATACCTAAGCCTGTCTATTGTTGAGTTTCCAAAATGTATCTTTATCAGCCCTTACTTAGAATGGTAATTTTTTTCCTTCTGTTCCCTTCTTGTTTTATTGAATAAGAGAATAAGATCTACTTTTATTGTCTAATCTGCCAACCTTAATTTTTAGTAACTTCACTACTTTCTAACTTATGTAAATTTATGTGAAGTTTCGCATAACACTCATTTAAGAATTAAAAATTCCTTCTAGAAGTTCTGTGTTTAAAAGTGTTTTCAGGTTACTTAATAATTAGGTATGACTGGGAGAACTCTTTGTCTAGACTTGTGCTCTTATATTGTAGCTGTTAACTATAGATAGCTGCTGAGCATTTGAAATGTGCCTAGTCTGAAGTGAAACACACATGAGATTTTGAACACTTAAAGTATCTCATTGATATTTTTACGTTTTATAAAGTATCTCACCAATATTTACATTACATGTTGAAATGATAGTATTTTAGATGTATTAGGCTAAATAGCTACTGCAGTTAATTTCACATGTTACTACTTAATGTGACCAGAAAATGTACATATGTCCTTCCCACTTAGCAACTTATTAGACTATAACAATGAACGCTTTATTAAAAAAATGTAATTTGACTGTAGTGCATCTAGATCTCCTTATTTATTCATTCAAGGGGTAGAAAAGAAGTTTAGAGAAGAACAAGAATAAAATGAAGTTTCAGTTTATCTTGTAGATTCTGAAATCTGTTTTAGTCTTTGGTGACAGTACTGCCTCTTGTTCCTCCTCACTGCCTACCTTTAGGAAAAGGAGAAAGAATAAAGTCCATTCATTGATGGGGAGATTCAGGGCTCTGGGAAAGTTACTTATAACCACATGGTTCGAGTTCTACAAGAAACTGTAAAATTGTTGTAAATACTAAAAGGTGTTGAAATTAGAAAATAATTTAAAATCTCTAATTTCTTGTGCAGCAAATCACTCATGCAAACAATACAGTGTCTCACTTCAAGAGGTTTCACGGCCGAGCATTTAATGACCCCTTTATTCAAAAAGAGAAGGAAAACTTAAGTTATGATTTGGTTCAGATGAAAAATGGTGGCGTTGGAATAAAGGTAATATAATTGAGCAACTAACTTATTCTCTTAATAGGAAACTAACTCATCTGTAGAGAAAGGTACTTAATTCTTAATGAAAATTTAACTCTCATTTCTTAATTGGACAATATAGTTGTTTTTTTTTTAAATATATTTTATTGATTTTTTACAGAGAGGAAGGGAGAGAGATAGTTAGAAACATCGATGAGAGAGAAACATCGATCAGCTGCCTCCCGCACATCTCCCACTGGGGATGTGCCCACAACCCAGGTACATGCCCTTGACCGGAATCGAACCTGGGACCTTTCGGTCCGCAGGCCGACGCTCCATCCACTGAGCCAAACCGGTTTCGGCGACAATATAGTTTTTTTATTCCTTTGTTTCCCACCTAGCTTCTTTTAAACTTTAGGTATATCTTTAAATTGTCTTTGAAAATTACTCAAACAGTATATACTGCTGTAATTTAATTTGTATTTTTTGTAACTTCCTGACAATCGTAAAATTTAGTGGTGTTTAAAAAATCTAAGTTGTGTTGTCATGTCAAACTAAAAGTCTGTCCAGTGCAGCTCAGTTGCATTGTTTGGAGTGCAGCCTTGTAACCCCACCAGAAATCTTTTTTTAAACTTGCAGAAGCATTCCCATCTTATGATCTACACAGAATAATATTTAACCCAGTGGTTCAGCTCTTTAGTTAGAGTAGAAATTTGCTACTTTCTATAATGTTTTGACTAGTACTTTGGGTGGGGAAAAATCTACTCTAGTTTTTATTTTCCTCTTCATCACTAGGGAAAAGTTCTTTTTTCCTTTTTTTCTTTGCTTCCCTTTTCTTTCCCCCTTTCCTTTTCTCCTTTGTCCCTAAACATCTATAAAAATAGAGATTTTCTGGGAAAAAACGTGATAATATTTGAAAGTTAATATTAGCAGGTAACTTTACCACTGGTTAAAACATTTTCTTTTTTCAACATAGGTAATGTACATGGATGAAGAACATCTGTTTAGTGTGGAACAGATAACAGCCATGCTGTTGACTAAGTTAAAGGAAACTGCTGAAAACAACCTCAAGAAGCCAGTAACAGATTGTGTTATTTCAGTAAGTAGAATTCCTCAAGGCAATGTGTCTTATTTTAACGTGCTTTATGTTACTTTCAAGTATACAATTTGTGAAAGCAGTTCTGTTACTAGGGATCAAAATTCTATGGGCCTTGTTAGCATAGTCAGGATTATTTCAGAGGAGGTTTGAGTTGTGTTTTTAGCCAGAAGTTGCAAAGGTTCTTGACCAGAGATAAATCAAAATCTCCTATGAGGCTTTTTGAAAATATAGACTGATTAGTAGAATGGGGATATTCTAATAGTTACTTCACTGTTAGACAACTTGTATACATACATGAGAGCTTTTCTAAATTCCACCCCCAAATTGAGAACCAGTGCATTAGAAGTTTTAAAATGTAACCTACCAGTAGTGACAAAACCTAGAATTTCAGCACTAGCTAGTATACTACCTTCAATGGACAATTGATAAATTATCAAGGAGTATTTGAAATGGACAAAGGCCACCTTTTATTTGGACACCAAAAAGGTAGTTTTAAATTCTGTTTTCCCAAATGTCTAGGGTAACTTTATGAACTCTTCCCCAGGACTGACCTACACTATGGTCTTTGTGTGATAGCATGGTTTGGGTGGCTTGCCCAGACTAGTGAGAGCCTTTATGCCAGTATATTCTAGGATATGAAAGAATAGAGAGAGAGGGCTAAAATTTCTCCTCTAGCCCTTGTAAGACAGAATGTGAGCTACTGGAGCAGTGGTTCTCAACCTTCTGGCCCTTTAAATACAGTTCCTCATGTTGTGACCCAACCATAAAATTATTTTCATTGCTACTTCATAACTGTAATGTTGCTACTGTTATGAATTGTAATGTAAATATCTGATATGCAGGATGGGCTTAGGCGACCCTTGTGAAAGGGTCGTTTGACCGCCAAAGGGGTCGCGACCCACAGGTTGAGAACCGCTGCACTAGAGGGTTGTCTGCCTGTTGATTGGAGAAATTGCATTAATCGCTGGTAAAATTAAAGAACCCTATCTAATAAAAGAGAGACATGGTAATTAGCATATGACCGCTACCCTTCCCATTGGCTAATATGGGTGATATATAAATTAACTTCCAGCCAAGATGGCGGCCGGCAGCTAGGCAGCTTGAAACTAACATGAGGCTTGCTTCCTTCAGTGAAGGAGGAAACCAACGTTCCCTGCCTGCCTTGCAGACCTCTGAGCCTGCAGTTTGAAACATTTTAACAAATACAGAAGCTAAAAAAAAAACTAGAAACCTGCTTTCAGCGAGCCCAGGATCTCAGAGCTGGAGTTGATACAGTTTCGATATTAGAACCGAAACAAACCAGATACCTACTTTTAGCAGCCGAGGCCTGAGAGCTAGAGCCTCAGAGCTAAAGCTGGCCCAGAATTTAAAAAAAAGAAAAAAAGGAGTGGTTGGGAGCTTCCATCACTCTCCAGCCTGAAAACCTCTGTGCGTGACAGGGTACGGAGCCCCAACCCCTCTAATGGGCCCTGCTCTGCGAGTGACAAGGGGCAGCGCCCCAACCCCGATTGGCCCTGCTCTGTACGTGACAGGGGGTGGTGCCCCAACTCCCCAATCAGCCGTGCTCTGAGCCTGACCAGGGGCTTCACCTAGGGATTGGGCCTGCCCTCTGCCACCTGGAAGCAGGCCTAAGCCAGCAGGTCGTTATCTCCCAAGGGGTCCCAGACTGCAAGAGGCCACAGGCCCGGCTGAGGGATCCCCTCTTCCCCCTGAGTGCACAAATTTTTGTGCCCCGGCCTCTAGTCCTATCTAATAAAAGAGTAATATACAAATTAACAGTAACTCCATGACAAAGATGGCGGCGCCCATAGTGGCAAGACAGGACGCTGGCGGCGTTACCCTGGCAACGTGAGCCCAGCAGGCATTGCCTTGGTGGCGCAGCCCTGGAGCAGGCAAGCACGGCCGCAGGCAGCCCCCAGCAGGGCCTACTCGTGGGTCGCTGCAGGGATCTGGGAGCAGGAAAGTGCGGCACACAGGCAGCCCCCAGCAGGGCCTGCTTGTGGGTCGCTGTGGTGATCCCCGAGCTGGAAAGCGCAGCCTGCAGGCAGCACCCCACCCTGGCCAGGGCCTACTCGTGGGTCGCTGCAGGGATCTGGGAGCAGGAAAGTGCGGCACACAGGCAGCCCCCAGCAGGGCCTGCTTGTGGGTCGCTGTGGTGATCCCCGAGCTGGAAAGCGCAGCCTGCAGGCAGCACCCCACCCTGGCCACAGCTCAAGGGAGAGAACAATACGCAGGTGAGGCCAGGAGCCTGAGAGATCAAGACAGGGGCTCCTGCTCCAAGCCTCCGCGATGTGGCTGGGGGCAGGCCCCCAGCAGGCAGGCAGACACACACACACACAGGGCGCCTGTTCCGAGCCTCCTACGTGGCTGGGGGTAGGCCCCCAGCGGACACACACAACACACACACACCCACACCCCACACACACACACACACACACACACACACACACACACACACACGACAACTGCTCTGAGCCTCTGATGCGGCTGGGGGCAGGTCCCCAACGGGGACACACACACACACACATGCACACGGCGCCTGCTCCGATCCTCTGCTGCCATACTGTGTCCGTCAGTAGGACATCCACTGAGGGTTCCCAGACTGTGAGAGGGGCAGGCTGGGCTGAGGAACCCCCCCCCCCCCAGTGCACGAATTTCATGCACCAGGCCTCTAGTCTATATATAAAAGGCTAATATGCACAGTGTCCCCACGGGAGTTCCATTGGGAGTTCTGTCGCTCACTTGATGTGCGCTGAAAAGGGGGCGGTGCGGAATGAAGGAAGGCCCCAGCAGCAGCTGGAAGGCCCTGATCCCTGGCCAGACCTAGGGACCCTACCCATGCATGAATTTCGTGCACCTGGCCTCTAGTTAAATTATAAATCAGTGGTCCTTCCTGTTTTATTTTTCTTTAAGTTGATGAAAAAAAATGATGAAAGCAGTGTTCTGATTTGAAAAGTGAGCAGAGACCCACATTGGCTCTTGTCTTTGTCTCTTTCTGAAGCATCTACAAATACTTAGGGGGGGAAATGTGAAAGCCACCAAGTCTTCCTTATGTACTTTATAGTTAAGTGCTTCTATGAATGTAATGTTACATGTTCTTGAAGAGTATCCTAGTTAAAATGCTGTCCTAGAAAAGTGGTAAAAATAATCCAGTTAGAAGTGCCTCACTCAACAGCATAAAAAACGATCCCTTGATACTTTAAGTTTAGGACAATCTTTTCAAAAGTAAGTTACTGTTCTGAATGCTAAGTAACTAAGTCTAAAGGTCTATTTCTGTTTTATGACCTAGCTAAGGCACCTATGAATTTAGTATAAGTTGTTATAAGGAATTTGCATATATTTTTTGTGTTCTAGGTATGTTAAAATTCTTGTCTTGTCCTTAGGTCCCCTCTTTCTTCACAGATGCTGAGAGGCGATCTGTATTAGATGCTGCACAAATTGTTGGTCTTAACTGCTTAAGACTCATGAATGATATGACAGCTGGTAAGCAAAATCTTTTTGTGTGGAGTAACTATACTATCATAACTACAATTAAGATATATCAGAAACAATTACTAAACATTTTTTCACATTGATGTAGAAATACAGTTTATAAAAAAACATGTATTAGGTTTGAAAGCACAACTTCCAGCTTTTCAGATGCTTACGTTTAATGAGAAATTGGCACTTTGTCAGATTTATTAATCTGTTTTCATTAGAAAATTTCTTTAAATTCCTATATTTATAAATTCCTTTAAATAGTATATACACACACACACAGGATGGGGCAAAGTATGTTTACAGTTGTGAGTACACAAAACACAGAGTTGTTCTTGTATTATTATTTATTGTACTAGAGGCCCGTTGCAGGAATATTCCTGCAAGAATAGGGCTTCCTGTGGCTGGAGCAATGCAGAGAAGGGAGCGAAACTCTCTGAGGCGGGCTTCGCTGCAGGTTTCTGGACTTTGTTTACCTTCTGTATTTGAAACTTTGTTGCGACTCCAGCTCTGAGATCCAGGCTGACTGAAAGCAGGTTTCTGGGTTTTGTTTAGCTTTTATATTTGTAACAGTGTTTCTTCAGGAGCTCAGGCCCGCAGCGGCAGGCGGGGAACCTGGCTTCCTCTGTCACTGGAGCAAGCAAGCCTCCTGTTCGCGTTAGCTGCCTGGTTGCCAGCTGCCATCTTGGCTGGCAGTTAATTTCCATATCGCCCTGATTAGCCAATGGGAAGGGTAGCGGATGTTCGGCTAATTCCCATGTTTCTCTTTTATTAGATAGGATTATTTTCCATATAAACAACTGTAACCTACTTTTGCTCTACCCTGTATATATTTATTTTTTAAATTAGGTGTGTTGGATTTAGTTTTTAAATTTTCTTAACATTGTTGTTATAGTTAAGAAACAAATTTTCTCCAAATCTTATGATTCTGGGTTTCACAACTACCTTGACTGCAATTACTGGTGTAGTAAAATAGTTTCCCTCCTATATTTCCTGAATATATATGGTTAGGCCTTGATCACCTCTCTGAAATGCTAAGCTGTGCCGTTTGGTAGGCATCGGGTTTAGGTGTGTATATAATGTTGAGCAAAGTGGTCACTGTTACGTTCTAGAGCTTTTATTAGTTTATTACAGTTTCTGATGAACAAAAAGTAGTTACATTGTAGTTTTGGGCAAAACAAATAAGACTTTTTTCAACACATTTCCAGTAGTTTTAATTAAAATTTCAATAAAGTCGTTTTCTTAGGTATAAATGTTTAGAAAAGCAATAGCTTCAAAGTTCAGAAAAAGCTAACAGACGCTAAGGGAGATCAGTTATTTATTTGCCTTGGATATAAATATAATTGGTAGGAAATGGAGTTACTGTAGTGGTATATCCTTAATTTTTCTGAATGAGCAGTGTCCTAGCAGCTCGTGGTTAAAATGTGAGTATTGGTATACTGTTTCTGATAACTGGTTGTGGTTGCATGTCTTTGTATGTCTTCTCTCCATATATTGAAAAGTTATAGAGCATTATTCTAAAATCAGAAAAGGGTAATCAATGCCAAGAAAACTAGTATGAAGTCAGGTATGAAAGCAGTGTGTTCATCTTTAAATGTTTGAAGTATAGTCAAGTTTCCTATATATGTAATCTACACTAATAAAAGACAAGCATGCAAATTGACCGTACCTCCGCTACACCTTAAGCTACACCCCCCAGCCAATCAGAGTGACTATATGCAAAGTAACCCAACAAAGATGGTGGCCGGCAGCCACGGAGCTGGAGCAAGCAGGAGGCTTGGTTGCCCCAGTGATGGAGGAAGCCAAGCTTTGCGCCTGCCCATCGTGGCCAGCTCTGAGCTCCTCTCAAAGCAACAAAGTTTCAGTTATAGAAGGTAAATAAACCCCAGATACCTGCTTTCAGCCAGCCGTGGCCACAAAGCTGTAGTGAGCAGGAAAGCAACAAAGTTTCAATTATAGAAGGTAAATAAATCCCAGAATTACAAAAAGAAAAAAGGAGAGGCTGGGAGCTTCAGACACCGGGGGGCTTAGCCAGCCTGAAAACAGCCCTCAGCCCCTCACCAGACTGGCCAGGCACCCCAGTGGGGACCCCCACCCTAAAGTGGGTGTGGCCAGCCTGAAAAAAGTCATCAGCCCCTCATCCAGGATGGCCAGGCACCCCAGTGGAGACCCCCACCCTGAAAGGGGTGTGACCA